TTGTGAATGTCCAAAACAATAAAGACTAAAATATAGAAAAAGTAAAATTATAGAGATCAAATTGAAGTTTTTCATGCCAAATATAAACAAGGTATTTCTTTTATTTATTATCAAATTTGATTTTTATTCTTGAACTTTTGATTTTGAACACAAATTAAAGTTTGATTTCATAAAATCTAGCGCATATTTATCATCTAATACTTCTCAAAACTTATAACATGATAAATAATGAAAATTAAGAGAAGTGTTAAAAAATGATGAAATTAAAAATATTTATTTTTATTAAAAACATTGTTTTTTAAATGAAATGCCTGATATGGAAAACAAGTTATATATATATATATATGTGTGTGTGTGTGTGTGAGAGAGAGAGAGAGAGAGATAATTATATCTTACTATTTTGCACGCAATTGAAGGGAAAAAAAAGGAATGATAACTCTGGCAAAATTAATAAAAAAATTTACAATAAAAATATAAACTTTATTTTCATTCAATATTCATGAACATAAACTTAATATTTTTTTTTGTATTGCAGGTTAATGTATAATAATCAATGAAATAATTGTAATTATTATAAAAACAATGTTGTAATCTTATATGAAAATAAATGTGAGTTTGAATGGCTTTAATTGAATCAAGTTCTAAATATAATTTTAGTTACTTGATTATAATGAATTTTGACTAAATTTCTAAGGGAAAAAAATTGAATAACTTAAGTTAAAATTGAACGGTATTAATGAAATAACATCCTAAGATATAAAATCTCAATTATTTTATTACAATTAATTTTAATTATGTTAAAAAATAATATAAATTATATTTTGAGATCTCACATAACAGTTTAAATTATTGGGTTAAGATAATTTTTTTAACATGATATCAAAATCTTGAAGATCAAATCTCACCATCTTTATTTATGTAATAAAAATTAAATATAAGATAAAATGAGCATATGCAAGTTTTAAATTTAAAGAGTATTTACTTAAAGGGAGATGTTAAATAATAATATAAATTACATTTTAAAATTTTACCTAATAATTTAAATTATAGGATTGAGATGATTTTTTAATAAATTAAAATTATAAAAATAAAATAATAAAAAACTATTTAAAAACAACCTAACACTTTAGATGAAGTTGGACAAATATGCCTAACCAATAAAAAAGTTGGGCATGTAAGGGCATCCAAGTCAAGTTTACCGTCCTGATCTTTTTAGTTTTTATATGTAAAATGATATATAAACTAGATGATATGTCACTCAATGAACAGACAATACATAATATGCCTATACATATTCCAGCCACTTTTAGTGCCTAGAAAGTCGAGTTTTGAGTTATTTGACTAATAATCCATTTTAGTTGTTTTTTTCACTCAAGAAACATTTTATATACCTCAATAAATCCTTTTTAGTTTTAAATCAATCTTTAAGCAATCAAAAAATAAAAAAATTAATCTGAATAAAAAATATTTCTAAGCCCTAATCTATGTATTTCCATAAAAATAAATAATAAAAAAAATAAATAAATGAAACTTCTCTTGTCAAACAACATCCTTTGATATTAAAATTGTCTTTTTTATTATTAGAAAGTGGTCACCTGATGATTTTCTTTTATCTCCACCACTTTCCAATTAATTCTCTACCCTCTCTCAAATTTAGGGATTTAAATATGAATAAAATAAATTTTTAGATTAAAAAATTAAATTTAAAAAAATAAAGAGAATAAAGGAAATCAATGAATAACGTGTGGATTGAAACATCTTTTTTAACCTGAATTTGAGATTGACTATGCAGGTACTATGATTGTCATTTTTGCCATCTTTCATTGATTTGATTCCTTATGAACTTGAGATTCACTATGCAGGTTTTTATGATTGTCATTTTTGCCAGCTTTCATTGATTTTATTCCTTATGCCATAAATTAAAATTATATCTAATTAAATTTGCATATAATCAAGTTCTGAATTTTGGAACAAACCTTAAATTCTCAAGAATATGGAAAGAGAAGAAACTACCACCTCAAAGAACAAAAAAGCAAATGCAATGATGCAATAATATAAAGGTTTGGTAACAAAAACAAAATGTTCACTGTTAAAATACACAAATCTACGCTAATTCACCACATAATTTACTTTTTTTATATAGAAATAAATATTTGGTGACCAAAATGAAAAATAAATACATTTACTATTAAGCCACTATACAACACCACGTTGAACCACTACACATTCTAGTTTTTTTTTTATTGTTCTTTATTTTAATTTTAATGTAATGTAATTGTGTGTGTGTGTATATGCTACAAGAAAATATTATTTTTATGTAGAAATGATATATTTATAAAATTTATCAATTTTTTTTACTATTCTTGTAGCAAAATTGTAATTTTTTTTTAAATAAGTTTTTCTTATATTGTTTTTCTTTTTATGCTTGGAATTTTTATTATTTTACGCTTATCTATTTATTATTATTTGTTTTCTTATCTTTTTTTTGTAATATTTTTTTCTTTTTACATTTTTTTGGAAAAATATTATATTCTATTTTTTACACTTTGACATATTTATACAATTTTTTGTTGTTGTTATCTTTATTCTTGTGTAATTTTTTTTTTCTTTACATGTGTTGTTGTTATCTTTATTCTTGTGTAATTGTTTTTTATTTTTTTCTTTACATGTTTTTTTTTCAAAAATATTTTTGTTTGGGATTGTAGTGCAAACAAAGATTTATCAAAATTCAATTTTTTTGGAATAAAATTATTTTTTATATATTTTCAGATCATTTTGATGTATTGATATCAAAAATAAATTTTATAAAAAAAAATTATTTTAATGTATTTCAGACGAAAAGTACTTTGAAAAATGACAATCACCATACTCTCAAACATCCCCTAAAAAAAAATATTTTACTATAATAATTATAACATTATTTTATTTTTCTGCTATATGAGAAATTAGTTTGAGATCTTATATGTTTTTATTAATACATATGATTTTTACTATAATTTAGTATATGTAAGCATTATCTTTTTGATTTACAATTATATTTTTTACTCAATGTCAAAAAACACGCTAATAATACCTGCACATAAATTTTTTGCATTAGAAAAAAACTCTTTAACTTGCAATGAAACAAGTTGAATTAACGTGTTAACACTTTGATTTTTATATTTATTAGCACAAATGATTTTTATGTATTTAATTAAATGCATGTATAAATGTTTTAATTTATAATTTGAATTAAAAAAATATATTTAAAAAAATTGTATATTTATTTTTTTGCCAAAACAATTATCCGACCCAATAACTAGTATAACCAAAATAAAATGGAATTGAGTTGAACCATATTTGGTATACTATTAACTTATTTAAAAAAAAAAAATAATCCTATTTCCAGACATCATGCTTGTTTTATAAATATGCAAATTAAACCATGCACAGGTAGCCTGACTATTTCGATTCCATATTCATTACATTTAGACCATTCACTCCAGATTTTCTTAATTCTTAACAAACATAAAATGACTTGCTGATATTGAAAATATATTAGTCAAATGACACAATTTTGATTCAAATACACTGCCCTAATTAAAAAAAAAATTAAAAAACTTCAAATGAATAAAATTCATAGGGGGCTTTTATTTTAGAAAATACTTTTCTATTTTGAAATGTTTTATTTTTGTAATTTTTGAAAATTTATTTTTTAATAAGAACAAGGCATTCTAGCCAGAATTGTGTGACATATGACTATTAATTTCCACATGAACAAGTTTTTCGATGTTTGTTACGAATTGAGAACAATTAAATTGAATTGTTTACCTACAACCACCATAGAGTCTAATTTACCAAACAATTTAATTTGGCAACTTCAAACAAATCCAAGATCTCAAAATCGTATTTTATCCTAATTTGTTTTCTATTGATTTACTGATTTTGTCTTGTCAATGTTAATACATCAGATGTAACTGGTATTAATCAATCAGTTGTCAATCTTTCACAATTAAGGTATATGGACAGTGTTGCAGGGATCTTAATGTACCAATGAAATAAGACATCCCTTAATAAAAGGTTTAGGTTGCATAATGTGCTTGTTTGAAAAAAGAAGAAGAAGAAACTCTTAATTTTTTATTCAATTATAGACCAATTCGTTAGCTGAGGTTAGAAAAAACTCTAAATTAGACTTAAAAGATGATATTCAAACTAATTTTATATTTTTATATTTTTTAGTTTATTTATGATTTTTATTATTTTAGTTTTTAGTTTTCTAATTTATATGGTTATTTATGATTTTTATTATTTTAGTTTTCTAATTTATATAGGTCTGTTTGTAGATTTAGTTGAGGAGTTGTAATCCCTTTTAAAAAATAAACTATTTGAAAAGAAATATTTAATAATTAATTTTTTTATGTGGTAATCTTATTTGGTAAAATTTTGTATTATTTATACTTAGTTTTTTTAATATTATTTTCACCAACATCCATATAATTTTTTTAAAAAAAATGTCCTGTTTTTATACAACTTTATCAAGAATTAAAGAAAAATTTAGAAGAGGATGAACAAAGGGACCACATTAAAAGAATTTCTAGAATAATTCGACACAGAGACCAATTAAATAAAAAAGAGAATGGAGCAATCATATTAAAAAAAAAATCAGTAATATAGAAATCAAATATAATTCCAACAGTGTGTTCTCCAATCGGACTTTTGGAAGGCACTTCTTCCTTCGTTCAGTTGTTACCTTAAAGTTTCTGAGCCTAAATTAGAAACGTTATGGGCCAATGGAGGGAGAGGGCTTCTAAATGAGACTCGTGTTCCATATCCTTGTCCAATGCCTTTGCTTTTTGCAAAAAGATTCAACCATTTTAAGATTTTTTTTTATTTTAAAAAAAATAAATTTAAGTGCATTTTAAAGGTAACCTTTTATCCTCTTTTTCTCTTTTAAATTTATTTTCAGGTTCAAATCTAAAATCTTTTGCAAATGGGAATATGTGTGGGGGTGGAGAGCTGACCTTAGGGAACTGGAGTTCCTTCATTAGGCTCAAGTATTCTCTTTTTACAGCAATTAAGTTTGCGAGTTCCCTTTTGATTGCCTCCAATTTGAGCTTGAGCTTGTAAATGCATAGTAGAGCATCCATGATGACATACTTCCTTTTCACCTTCATAAGAAACAGATATAGAGTCAGGGAGCTTTGTGGCAAAATAATGAATTGGTATTCTTAGACTGTTGTTTCTAACGCTAAAGAAAAGCAAGTCTTTGAGTTTTTCTTTTTCTTTTTCTTGACAATGCAGTAGAAAGAAGAGAAAACTGGTTTTGCTTATTACAGATTTGGAGCGGGAGAGGGTTCGTAGATAGTGACGCATATTGTGCATTGCTGCTCTCCTTTGCAGCCTAACCACCATCTCTCTCTCTCTCTCTCTCCGTGTTTATTATATGTCCAGTAACATACAGCAGCTTGACTTTTATAGCAGGAATGGAGATGTTGAGGGGATGTGTTTAGGATCTCGGATTGTCAAGCTAGCTATGCTATTTATGTTCTTCTCTCACATGAAATTGGGAAACGAATCAATAAGTGAATCGGTAAAAGAAATAAAACGCCAATTACAAGGGCTAAATATTGCCATCCCAGTTCTCATTATTAAACAAAAAATATTATTTTTTGAGATGATTCTCCATAGTCTTAAGAACGTGGGCCAAAATTTGACGTTGGTTTTTTCTTTTCTTGCCTCTAATTCTCATTATTTTTCGAAACTGCATGTCCAAGATTACTAAAATATAAGGGAGAATAAATAGGATTGGGATTGACAAAGAACTTCAAGACACCAATTTCGGGACAAAGTATCTGCTTTGGGAATATATTAGTGGAAAGGCGTGGGCTCCAATGAAGAAGAAAATTAACTAAAAAAAGCTCTTAAATAAAAAAAATTATCAAGATTGGTAAAAAGTGCACATCCATTTCTGAATCCGAATTCTTGCATGGAATGGATGTGGGAATTGTGCTCAGTTGCTAGTCAGATTCAGTCAATGCATATATGCAGTGTTCACGGGCCTCTCGTTCGGCTTCACTTTGTTTCCCCCATCTTGCTAGTGCCCGGAGGTCACATGCTCTGACACTGTGTACCAGCTGGTGTTTTATATTCTTTTATCTTTCTTTCGTACTTCTGGGGTCACCAAGCTTGATAGCATTAACAGCCTTTCCACTTAAAACAAATCCAGCTGCCTGGACAATTCTTACTCTTTTAGTCGAGGTGAAATTGTTTTACCAGTATTTTAATTTTCTGCAGCATTCGTATGAGCCACAGCTGGGAAATTGTGTGTGTTGCAAGACCAGGTCTTGATCATGACACTGCTCGTATTAGATTGATTGCCCAGCACATTATCTAACTCGAAAGCTTTTGAAAGTATGGATTAGGTGTGGTGAGCGAGCCCCATCTATGTATAACATAGCTAGCTCGTGATTTCTTTTTCCAAGTGATGTGATGCTTTTATTCTTAGCAAGATCTATATTTTAATTGATTTTGTAACAAAAGAAGTAAATTGTTTATAATTTCAAGAGTAAAGCCACCGGCATAACTGTTGGATAAGAAAAGTGGATTGTATAATGTTAAGGTTCATTCTCTTTGGTTAGAACAAGCCAAACACAAGGTGCCTGCTGTCTGGTGCCTCCATTATGACAAGCCCTGCCCATTTAACAAATTCTTATTCTTCACATAATGGCATGCATAAACATATATAAACTATTCATAGGCTGCACAAAGGACTAGAAGGCGCATGGATATTGGATGCCAGTAGCTCTACCTTTCCTGAAATCACTCATACTTGTCTTGTTCGAAATGTATGCTAGGGCTACGCTCCTTCTCTGAGGGTCATAGGGATCCCTTCATTGTCTCTTTGTTTCCTGATATTTCAATTTTACAAGTCCATCCTGGCATTCGGTTTTCTTTGTCCATTTCTGCTTGACATCTCCCTCTCAATCTGGGAACTGAAGCAATATATTCTGTCAAATTCTTGTCTACTACTTGCTTAAGCTGTTCCCTTTTTATCTTCTCGTTTGTGGAATCCGGATTGATCACATGAGCGCATAGAGCCAAGGAAAGGATTGCAAGCGACAATCTAAGATTATTCATTACAACCCCGTGTCTTAATAATTAGTTCACTGTGTAAGTTCATTGTGGCTCTTATGTTTTACGTAGAATTTCAGTGCCATCCCTATGATTTAGAATATTTATAAAGGATATTTTGTCTAATAATTAGCATCTCCATAAGAGGTGCTGCCACTTTTTACTCTAATACCAAACTAAAGCGAATAAGAACTAGTGTTTGGAGGTAAAAAGACTCATAATTGTATTATGGATCCAAGTATATCTTATATAATACCAATAGGGCTCCAGTATAGCTGTAGTGAGTATATTGTATTTGCAAGGAAATTACGAATTCAAATCCTTTCTATCGAGTTCTTCCATCCCGCATGTGTGTCCACCTCTCATTCTATCGAGTTTTCACTTTCTAATGCTCATTCACCTGATATCTGTATCAAGATAGCCTCCAATAATCATCTTTTATGCAAAGCACAAGTCATTCTGATTCTGCGTGCTGATGGCCATCATGGTTATGTGCAAAATTAGGTGCACATCTGGCACCAACCTTCGGTGACGGTGGTGTGTCACACGCCGACCATGCGGCAAATACTTCACTGCACATTGACTAATTGATTCTTGGATGGATCGATAACTGCCTGTTTAATGGCCCCTTGTACCAAGTCATCAACAATGAATCCTCTTGTGATGATAGGCAAGTTTTGGAAAATCTTTTTGGCATTTATATAGAATTAAATTTAATTATTAAAAATATATCATGATGAAAACAAAACCAAAATTGTTGTTAGAAATAAAATAAAATCAGCTATTTTATGATATATATGTTGTATATTTGCAGGATTAGAAATTCTTGGTAGTTTTCAGTACAGGGAAGGTGCTGACAATGTTTTTTTTTTTAATTTTTTTTTTTTGTAAATATTCATCAAATTTGTGAAAATGTATAGGAAAAAATCAACTACACACCATGAGCACATGATAGCAACTAATTCTTCTAGCAGCAATAATAACAACAATGTTTCATTAGATGTTGACTAAAAAAGAAACATTTGTCAACTCACGATATTGCCTCTTCGAATACAGTTTCACCAAGTAGAGGCAATATCCCTTCATAATAGAATCCATACATTTGCAAGTACGAGGTATATTAAAAGGATGATTTTTCAATGTAAGTTTGTTTTACTTTAAGTTGATTTGTGTTTAACAATTTATGAATATATAATATTTCATTTAATTTATTGATTTGTTGTAAGTTCAGACTTCATTTGAACTTCATTAATTTTAAAGAAGATTTATAAAACAGCATGATCAATTTTCAAAAATGGTCTGATCATTTCCCTAAATTGGTTTAGTCGTAACTTGACACGATCAAAAGATTGATATTTTCTTCCAAGTATAGAAGTGTCGAAGTAATAAATAACCCAGCAAGACCGGGGTTGAACTATAAGGAGGTTAATTATATAAATTATAAATAACATCAATACTATAACAACAACAACAACAATAGTATTAGTAGTAGTAATAATAATAATAGTAATAGTACTAATAGTAGTAGTAGTAGTAGTAGTAGTAGTAGTAATACTAATAAAGA